ATTAGTGATGTTGAACTTTTTTTTTTAAATGTACGTTGGTCATTTGTATGTCTCCTTTTGAGAAATGTCCATGCAAATCCTTTGCCCATCATTTAATTGGCTTACTTGTTTTCTTACTATTGATTTGCATGAGTTCCTTAGACATTTTGGATATTAGCCTCTTGTCAGATGTAGGGTTTGCAAATTCTTTCACTCCAAAGGCCATGTCTTCTCTTTTTTGATTGTTCTCTAAACAAGATGCCTTTGACATAATTTTTCCAGTTTACAATGTTACAAATGGAAATTAAGGAAATTTAGGTGATATTTGAAGTAGAAATTGGATTGTGATCAAATTCTCAATTGGTTGTAATACTAGCAGTGAATCAGAACCATATGACTTCATTTATCTTCCCCTGGATTTTATGTAGGGAGCTACTAAAACTGCCTGAAAATATTAATTTTAATTGCTCATGAAGTTCTCATTCTAATGATACTAATGAAAAAAATGATGTTTTAGTGTTTAAAAACACAAATCCACTTGGGAAGGCCTGGGACAGGTGTTGACATGATGTGATTTCTGCCCAGTGCTCCGAATGTCAAAATGAAGAAATTCAATGAAGCGTGGATAAATGGTGGGAAATTCAGTGAAGCACGGGTAAACAGTGGGAGCAGAAATACAAACTACCAACAGAGATTACTACAAACAACTCTATGCACACAAACCAGTAAACCTGGAAGAAGTGGATAAATTCCTGGACACCTGCACCCTCCCGAGTCTAAACCAGTAAGAAGTTGAAACCCTGAATAGACCAATAACAAGTGCTAAAGTTGAGGCGGCAATTAATAGCCCACTAACAAAAAAAAAAAAAAAAAAAAAAAGCCCAGGTCCAGATGAGTTCAGAGCCGAATTCTACCAGACAGACAAAGAAGAGCTGGTACCATTCCTTCTGAAACTATTCCAAACAATATAAAAAGAGGGAATCCTTCCCAAATCATTTTATGAGACCAACATCATCCTGATACCAAAACCCAGCAGAGACTCAATAAAAAAAGAAAACTTAAGGCCAATATCCATGATGAACATAGATGTAAAAAACTTCAATAAAATACTGGCAAACATTGCAACAGCACATCAAAAAGCTTATCCATCATGAACAAGTAGGCTTCATCCCAGGGATGCAAGGCTGGTTCAACATATGCAACTCTGTATACATAATCCACCACATAAACAGAATCAAAGACAAAAAATACATGATTATTTCAATAGATGCCGAGAAGGTCTTCAACAAAATTCAACAGCCCTTTATGCTAAAAACTCTCAATAAACTAGGTATCGACAGAACGTATCTCAAAATAATAAAAGCTGGTTTACTACAAACCCACAGCCAATATCATACTGAATAGGTAAAAACTGGAAGCATTCCCTTTGAAATCTGGCACAAACGAGGATACCCCCCCACTCCTATTCAATATAATGTTGGAAGTTCTAGCCAGAGCAATCAGGCAAGAAAAAGAAATAAAGAGTATTCAATTAGGAAAGGAGGAAGTCAAATTGTCTCTATTTGCAGATGACATGATTGTATATTTAGAACACCCCATTGTCTGAGCCCCAAATTTCCTGAAACTGATAAGCAACTTCAGCAAAGTCTCAGGATATAAAATCAATGTGCAGAAATCATAAGCATTCCTATACACCAATAACAGATTAAAAGAGAGCCAAATCAAGAATGAACTGCTATTCACAGTTGCCACAAAGAGAACAAAATACCTAGGAATACAACTAACAAAGGATGTAAAGGACATCTTCAAGGAGAACTACAAATCATTTCTTAAGAAAATAAGAGAGGATAAAAATAGATGGAAAAACATTCCATGCTCATGGTTAGGCAGAATCAATATGGTGTAAATGGCCATACTGCCCAAAGTAATTTATAGATTCAATGCTATCCCCATCAAGCTACCTATTACCCTCTTCACAGAACTAGAAAAAAAAACAACTTAAACTTAAAATGGAACCAAAAGAGACACCACATAGCCAAGACAATCCTAAGTAAAAAGAACAAAGCTGGAGGCATCACACTACCTGCCTTCAAGCTATACCACAAGCCTACAGTAATCAAAACAGCATGGTACTGGTACCAAAACACAAATACAGACCAAGGGAACAGAACAGAGACATCAGAGGCAACACCACACATCTACAACCATCTGATCTTTGACAAGCCTGACAAAAACAAGCAATGGGGAAAGGATTTCCTGTTTAATAAATGGTGTTGGGAAAACTGGCTAGCCATGTGCAGAAAGCAGAAACTGGACCACTTCCTGACACCTTACTCTAAAATTAACTCCAAATGGATTAATGACTTAAACATAAGACCTAACACCATAAAAACCCTAGAAGAAAATCTAGGCAAAACCATTCAGGACACAGGCATAGGTAAGGACTTCATGACTAAAACACCAAAAGCATTGGCAACAAAAGCCAAAAGAGACAAATGGGATCTGATTAAACTCCAGAGCTTCTGTACAGCAAAAGAAAAAATCATTAGATTGAACTGGTAACCAACATCATGGGAAAAAAATTTTGCAATCTACCCTTCTGACAAAGGGCTAATATCCAGAATCCACAAAGAACTAAAACAGATTTACCAGAAAAACAAACAAACAAATCCATTCAAAAGTAGTCAAAGGATATGAACAGACAATTTTCAAAAGAAGACCTACATGAGGCCAACAAACATATGAAAAAAATGCTCATCATCACTGGTCATTAGAGAAATGCAAATCAAAACCACATTGAGATACCATCTCATGCCAGTTAGAATGACGATCATAAAAAGTTTGGAGACAACATGCTGGAGAGGATGTGGGGAAATACGAACACTTTTACACTGTTGGTGGGAGTGAAAATTAGTTCAACCATTGTGGAAGACAGTGTGGCAATTCCTCAAGGAACAAGAAATAGAAACTCCATTTGACCCAGCAATCCCATTACTGGTTATATATTCACAGAATTATAAACCATTCTATTGTAAAGACACATGGACATGTATGTTCATTGCAGCACTGTTTACAATAGCAACAACCTGGAACCAATCTAAATGTCCATCGAAGTTAGACTGGACAAGGAAAATGTGGCACATATACACCATGGACTACTATGCAGCCATAAGAAAAATGATGAGTTTGCGTCCTTTGTAGGGATGTGGATAAGTCTGGAAACCATAATTCTCAGCAAACTGACACAAGAACAGAAAATCAAACACGGCATGTTCTCACTTATAGGTGGTTATTGAATAATGAGAACACATGGGCACAGGGAGGGGAGCATCACACACTGGGGTCTGTTGAGGGGGAACAGGGAAAGGACAGTGGGGGTTACAGAAGTTGGGGAGGGATAACATGGGGAGAAATACCAGGTATAGGTGACAGGGGGATGGAGACAGCAAACCACATTGCCATGTAGGTACCTATGCAACAATCCTGCATGTTCTGCACATGTACCCCACAACCTAAAGTGCAAGAAAAAATATATATATATATATTATATATATATTATATATATATATATCACATAAATCCTCTTGTATCATGTCAACACGTGCTTTTCTCATAGGAAAGTCCAACCACTGGTCCACTCACAGTGGTAAGAAACTCAGACCCAGATTAATCACTGAAGGCCCCATTCATTTATTCTGTTGGCAAGGACAATCATTTTGTTTCTTGACAAGAAACCAACATTTTGTACTTCAAGACTATAATCTATTTGTATTCTTAATAGCAAGGGAAGAAGTGGGGCCTTAACCCATGTTTATGCTTAGACTATTTGATGTGTAAACCAGTGTTTTAGCCACTTCTCTCTCAAGCCACAGGGTGTCTAAAATTTAACAGTTAAGAAGTCCTAAAATATCTAGCCTAATTTAAGCACACTTTTAGTAGTTTCATGGTCCTGGAAATTACTCAGCTGACAATGATCAGTGGTTGTTTGTTTAGCCAATGCACTCAAAATGACTTTTAGTAAGAATTTAGTCAGAAAAAAGAAAATGGATCTTTGCCATGAACGTTTTCCAAGTAACAGTGGCATAATTGTTTTTTTTTTTTTTTTAGATTGTAAAGTGTGTGCATTTTTTTTTTCTTTTTTTTTTTATTGCATTTTAGGTTTTGGGGTACATGTGATGAACATGCAAGATTGTTGCATAGGTACACACATGGCAGTGTGCTTTGCTTCCTTCCGTCCCCTCACCTGTATCTGTCATTTCTCTCCATGCTATCTCTTCCCACCTCCCCACCCCCTCGCCCCTCCCCCATTTCCCCCCAACGGATCCCAGTGTGTAGTGCTCCCCTCCCTGTGTCCATGTGTTCTCATTGTTCAACACCCGCCTGGCGATCATTAAAAAATCGGGAAACAACAGATACTGGAGAGGATGTGGAGAAATAGGAACACTTTTACACTGTTGGTGGGAATGTAAATTAATTCAACCAGTGTGGCATAATTTTTTTTAATAAAAACATCACACTGGCCATCTTCTTTCTTCTTTAGAAAAATAAGGATTTCAGCATTTCCTTAATTTCCATATTAAATTTATTACCTTACACATCAATTCTGTGTCAGACACTGAGCTGGGCCCTAATAAATGGATCATTATGAGGTCGCTTCCTGTGGGATACTCACCATCTTTTCAGGTGGCAGTCACACAAGAAACAAGCAATCAAATAAATAAATATATGATTGTAATAATGAGAAACGTGGAGAAATATATGACAGTTTCAAACACCAAGATCCCTGTAAGTTGATGAATTTCTTCATTGAAGGAACTTATTTTGAAAGATCAGAATCATTATCGAGTATTAAATACCAATTACGTATAGAGTCAATGTGAAGGAGAGATAATCTTTATGTTCCTTTACTTTTCCTGTTGTAACTCGAACTGGAAACAGGAAGGAGGCTATGCCCAGTTCAAAGCAACATTTAAAATAAGAGTTTAAGTGGAGTTATTTTGGAATATTTTTCTTTTTTTGAATATCAGACAGGTAATGTGCTGACCTCTTAACACGGTTTGAGGGAAGTATATCTTACACATGTGTGACAAAATTAAATCATCATGCACATGTACTACAAAAGGATCTTCATTTGAGGATTTATCTGTTGGTCTAAGGATATCAAATTGGAAAGTAATGGAGAGATTAAAAATATAATAACATGTTGCCCTATTTACTTCAGCTTCTTTAAAGAAAGAATCATGGCAAGATAGACAAAAGAAGGGATTAGCAAACCTGCACATTCTGCACATGTATCCCATTTTACTTAAAGTAAAATAAAATTGAATAATTAACACAATTGATAAGAAAAAAGGAAGAGAATGGGGAAGAAAGAGAAAAGAGGGATAGGAAGGGGAGGGGTGAGGTGGGAGGAAGGGGAGGACTTGGGGTGGGAGGGAGGTGTCGGGTAAAGATGGGAGGTGTGAAGTAGAAATAGCAGGTGCAGGGTAGGGATAGGAGGAGGGGAGAGGAGAAGGGAGGGAGGAAAAGAGGATAGAAAGAAGGGAAGGAAAAGGGGAGGAAGGAACCAAGGATGGAAGGAGAAATTTTAGGAGATTGCTACAATACCACCTTCATCTCATCTTTTTTCCTTCCCCTACTTTTCCCTCCCAAGAGATAACCACTATTCTAAAATTACTGTGTATCACTTCAATGTACATTTTCTAAAATTTGCTACACATATGTGATTCCCTAAGGCATACATGCTAATCTTTCATTCTCGTAAAATTTTTACTGAATGTAGTTTTTGTAAACATCCCTTCTTGTTTTTTGTTTTTGTTTTTGTTTTTTGTTTTCCACACAACACAATGTAAGTCATACCCATGTTCATACATGTATTTCCTTCACATTTTACTGCTGTAAAGTAATCCACTGTACATATACTAGAGGGGTGTATCCACTGAGCTTTGCTGGAGCATTTGGGCGTTAACTCATTTTTGCTTTTACAAGGAGTGCTTGGGGAACACCTCTACTTGTGTCTCCTTCTGTGCAGTGAGTAGGGAACTAGAAATAGTGACTGAGTCAAGAGGTAATTACTGAATCAAGACTTTTAACGTTTACCATGGTGGGTGTATCCATTTATTTTCTCACCAAGAGTATGGCTTCTAATTTTCCCATAGGGACACAAAAATCCCATGTCATCAAACGTTAACCTTGGTCAATTTCAGATGGCTAGAAAATGGTCTCTTACTATATTAATTTATAATTTCTTTGTTATAGAAATAAATAGTATTTCTTATTTTTAAAAATACTGTTATGCTGATATACTGACCACTCCAGAATTTAACTATTTAACACTGGACCTATAAAAATGAATAGAAAACTAAATTGGTTTTATAGCTTTTAAATATGGCCATTGTTAGGAATTTATGCATACAAAAGCTCAGTGTCAGAAAGCGTGTTTTATTGTTAGTATGATATCTGGAGTGCTTAATTATTAACTTAAAAATACACCAAATTCTCTTCCTCTTTTTGTCTTTTAGAATATATGATCACCTCTCAATTAGCTTTATTTTGATGGTGTTCATTGTGATCTCCAAAAAGCAACACAGGCCTTATTTTAATTTTTTATTTCTATAACTTACACCTTCTTCCAGAAAAGTTTAACAATAAACCATAAAAATATATGTCAACAAAGATATTAAATTCAACAATACAAATGTATTCATCTAAGTAACTGAATAAGACGACAGCAAAGTTAATATAGATCAGGATACTCTTCAGTTCTGCTGGACATTTAAAAAAATATTATCGTTGAAATTCTTGTAGTTATAAGTTGATATATCACTAATGATTTGGGTATCTAGAGAAAGAATAGTTTCAAATGCAGCTTGTAAACAGTTATATTGAAAAACACTTGATTCTATAAGTAATTTAAAAATTTAAATCACAAAGTACCATTTTTAATCTATTTAATGAACAAAAATATTACAATATCCAGTTGAGAACCAGTGAAGGGAAATTAATAATCTTTGACATTATAAATTCAGCACAGTCCTTGAAGAAGGTATTTTTGACATATAAATTTTTGTATCTTTGGATATAACAATATCATTTATTAGATTCTAGCTAGAGAAATAATCAAAAACGGGGAGAAATAATATATTCATGAACATGTTTTATCTTTATTTTAACCTGATAAAGTTCAAAACCACCTAAATGTTCAATATAAAGTATACTGTTGCCCACTGAAAAAATTACAGTCCTGTGCTGATGAGGTAAATGTATCTGATATTAAGATTCAATGGAAAGAAAACACAATCCTAAGTATGATTACAAATATGCAGAAAGTCTCCCGATTTTTTAATGATCGCCATTCTAACTGGTGTGAGATGGTATCTTAATGTGGTTTTGATTTGCATTTCTCTGATGACCAGTGATGATGAGCATTTTTTCATATGTTTGTTGGCCTCCTGTATGTCTTCTTTTGTAAAGTACCTGTTCATGTCCTTTGCCCATTTTTGAATGGGCTTGTTTGTTTTTTTCTTGTAGATCTGCTTTAGTTCTTTGTAAATTCTGGATATCAGCCCCTTGTCAGATGGGTAGGCTGCAAAAATTTTTTCCCATTCTGTTGGTTGCCGATTCACTCTACTGACTGTTTCTTTTGCCGTGCAGAAGCTGTGGAGTTTGATTAGGTCCCATTTGTCTATTTTGGCTTTCGTTGCCATTGCTTTTGGCGTTAATCGGGAAACAACAGATGCTGGAGAGGATGTGGAGAAATAGGAACACTTCTACACTGTTGGTGGGAATGTAAATTAGTTCAACCATTGTGGAAGACAGTGTGGCGATTCCTCAAGGACCTAAAAATAGAAATCCCATTTGACCCAGCAATCCCATTACTGGGTATATATCCAAAGGATTATAAATCATTCTACTACAAGGACACGTGCACACGAATGTTCATTGCAGCACTGTTTACAATAGCAAAGACCTGGAACCAACCCAAATGCCCAACGATGATAGACTGGATAGGGAAAATGTGGTACATATACACCATGGAATATTACGCAGCCATCAAAAAGGATGAGTTCACGTCCTTTGTAGGGACATGGATGAACCTGGAAACCATCATTCTCAGCAAACTGACACAAGAGCAGAAAATCAAACACCGTATATTCTCACTCATAGGAGGATGCTGAACAATGAGAACACAAGGACACAGGGAGGGGAGCACTACACACTGGGGTCCGTTGGGGGGAAATGGGGGAGGGGCGGGGGGTAGGGAAGTGGGAAGAGATAGCATGGGGAGAAATGACAGATACAGGTGAGGGGACGGAAGGCAGCAAACCACACTGCCATGTGTGTACCTATGCAACAATCTTGCATGTTCATCACATGTACCCCGAAACCTAAAATGCAATAAAATAAAATAAAATTAAAAAAAAAAATGCAGAAAGTCCACATACATAGGGGCAAAATGAAAAGACATATTACTCTGCTAATTGTTGTTCTAGAAGCAGTGTTTCTCCACTAATTTCAGAACATTTTGTTTTCTTTATTGCTTATTTAAATAGAAAATAAATGCCCTAGGCCTGCTTTCGTCCCCTTAGGGAGCTGGGAATTTTGCACAATTTATACTTCTGTCCTATTTGTTTTGGTTTTGTTTGTTTTTCTCAGCATAAAGCCACTGTTCTCAAATAGCACAGTATTCTAATGCTCCATCACTCTTGAATTTTACTTTACTCCTTGAGGAATACCACTTCAAGATGACTGACTGCCTTTCAATGAATGGATCAGCTCTTTGTTCTAGGAAAGAGAATCATGTGGCAAAGAAATATCAGAGGTTTGCAAATAAACCAAAAAAGTAGTAACTGCAAAAGAGATCCATGTATTTGCTCTAGCTCTAAATTCTCTCTGAGTCCTTGTTTAATTATCCTGTACTTACTGATTACCAAGTCATGGCATTCCATTGCAGGTAAACATTTTCTTTGGCTTCTACTTTTACTTCAATATCTAGGTCCTTTCTGAATGCATAGGGCTTGCTATTGGTTTAAACTGATAAGAAAAGATACCACACTTGATCTTAGCCAAAAGACCATTGCTATCGTTTTAATTTCCTTACAATTTATTCACTACAGAAATTCCTAATCAGATGATAACAATAAAGATGTTTTAATTTGAGGGGATAGCTCATTTTATTTCTGCACCCTAATACATATTTCAGCTACTTGGTTAATACGGAGTATTAAATATGGCAGAAATTAAATACATACTCTTATACTTCATAGACATATGTGTATATTGATACAATTTAGGAAAAATAGTCTGTCTTGAACTCAGCCAGACATTCATGGTAAATAAAACATGACTACCACTGACACTGGAACTTTGACAAGAGCCTGGTAATTACTATTGTTCTATTCCCTATTAATCCTTAAATTTTTTTTGCCCACCCTCATCCCCTACTCTGATTTATGGACTGCTTTTCATATTTATAAAGTGGTTCATGAATCACCCTGCAGCAACAGAAGTGAATAATAATGAGCCCATTTACGCAACATTTGGTGTGTAGCTAATTATCTCAGAAAGACTGCCCGGGATTGCACTGAGAAGAGTGTCATTAGCATTCAGTACTAAGTCTACAAAACAGAGGGGGAAAAGAAAGCAGAAATATAGAATCAAAAAAGTAAGAATAACAGTGAGAATGCTATCAACTGGGTGTGATTTTTTTTAAAGCATCCTAAAGAACATTTAATATCTCCCAATAGATGATTTGTGAAGTAAGTCATGGGGTATAGCATCCATTAAAATTATGTTCATGGAGCATACCTAAGACTTAAGAAAGTTCCTACCTATAGGTTGACCAAAGCAGCAAATAAAATTGTTATATACCATATAATTTCAACTTTAAGAAGAAAAATCAATAATAAAACTATGATGATGAGGTTGTTTATTCACTTTATCTATAATTTTCTGTATTTTCCAGATGTTTTAATATGGCTATATGTTAATCTTACAATGTATTTGTAATAGTAATGTCATATGTATTTTTTATTTCTTTGGAAGTATATAGACTGATAATAATAGCAGCTACCGTTAATTGAGTTCCTATTATACATCAAGCATTGAACTTATGCATGCATGTAG